ACAAATTTGAATTCTTTATTTTTTCTTAAATTACAATTATACCCAAAGAAAATTTCTCATTATTGTACAGACAGTTCAACAACTTAAAATCTATCCAACGAGAACTTTGACAACATTTCAATCTAAACATAAAAGGACGTTTAAACTTTTTAAAAATACCTTTTTTACTCCAGTTGTTTGTACCTCTTTGTTATATAAATATTTTATATTCATTGCTGTGCAAAAATTGTTGTTTCTCATGCTGCTCTCATTCTATGTTTGTTGAATACTAAAATTTAATGTGAGAGGAAATTGTTAATTTCATCACGCAGCCTAATTTCCTCAACAATTTTTCTTCAATCCGTTAGCACAACCTCCACAAGTTTATCTTTACAGAAAACTTGTGTCATCGATGATACTAACCAAACAACTTAGTGTGGCAGTTCAAAATACTAATGATATTTATTTCTCTTCTTTTTACTATTTTCATTACTTGTACTTTTATCGCTAACATTTCTGCTTTCCTTTTCTTTATAGTTTATAGTGATGTTTGTGTCAGGCAATATGTGTGAATTTACGAGGGAAAGAATAGAAGCAGTCATTCATGTAATTCTCTGATCAGTCCATTGAACTACTTGACCGTTACACATTTATCTAATATGCCGATGTCATTTACCAGAATTGAAACTCTGGGGCAACACAACAATCTATACAATAGACATCGCCTCATCTTCTCTGGTTTTTCTAACCAACGAACCCATATCAACGTATCCCACAAGGTTCAATGACAGTTTGAGATTTCCGTAAACATCAGCATCCCACTTTTAGTGACTTGTGACCTTTTGGAAATTGAACCTTTACAGTTTAAGTGAATTCTTTTCAATCTTTTCTATTCTAGCAACCATAAAATCCTCCAGCAATTTTATTTATATATATTTTTTATATGTTAACTTGATTCTGAACTTAATTTTCTTGAATTTTTATATGATATTCTGTTTGCTTCTCAACACATAGATAATCTTACAACAACACTATTTCTTCCTTCAAGATATTTGTTCACACTATACATAGCATTGTTTCTCTTATCGAAATATCCACATCTAATCTTTCAAAGAGTTATCGCTTGAGGACAAGCAACACCAAGTCTTTTCAGATAATTTATCAATATATTCGATGATTAGGTAGCATTTTATATGTATTTTTATTCAATATTTTTTTTATTTCTTTTTCTTTCGGTTTATTTTCATGTTTCCGTGAGGCATATGAGGACAATTTCATGTGTTCTATTGATTCTGGTACACAATCTCAGATTTACCACTTCTCTGACTTATACATTAGATATCTTTCTATTTTCTGCTTTCTCGTTCTTTTTTATAGGTTTATACATTTGTCCCTTTTATAGTTTGATAATAAATTATAGAAAATTATTAGTAGAGATAATCTATTAATGCAATGGTCTCATTACATTTTACTTTTGATAATCGTTAGGGAGAAAGTGACAACTTCTCAAAGAGTTTCGCATTTCTTCTGTATTAACACGGAGTTCTTGATCTATCTTTAATCCATTCTTTAAACGTTCTCATGTTTTGATAAACCTCTAAAAACGATTATCAATACATCATTGATTTTAAGCAAGATAATATCTATATTTAATGGAACCCCAAATGTCTAACTAAAGTCAATTAAAACTAAATAAATGGATTTATACAGAGCTGAAGAGGAAATGCGATATAATCATGCAGAGAAATTCTATTGGTACAATTAATAAAAGTAAATACAAGTGAATTATATTTTCTATAAAGTATTTATTATCTGGTGTCAGTTGTGAAAGATTGAGTTGAAAAGAGTTATTAAATAACATTTTATCGAAATAATCGAAGATGGACTAAGATTTATCATTCTTCCAATATTTCCAAGCGCCATTGAAAGAAGATAAAATTCAAAATACAAAAAATAATGTAATTTTCATATTTTTATAACATTCTGTGCGAGATGGAGACGAGGATAAGTTATCGTTAAGGATTAAGAATGAAAAAAAGAATTCTAACTAATAAATGCAAATAACATTGTGTGGATGGCAGTCAAAGGAGGAAAACCTAAAGCCTTCCTGAACAAGTAAAGCAAGCAAAATAGAAGGAGGGCATCAAGTGCATAAAATAAAGTCCAAGATTTGAACTACGAATTTCTGATGTCAGTATAAAATATTTGGCGTTTCCATTAAGGACATTGTTAATCATGTCTCCCCACAATTGCCTGTCCTTTGCAGCTCTTAATAATATTGTCTTTTTGTTTTTGCTTCTAAAAGTAGTTCCGCCATTAATTTTTTAAAGCAAGTTAGGCAGTTTATTCTTTGTTTTCCACTATTCTACTTGTCTTCAAACTGTTCTCTAAGTATCAAAATGTCTACTCCTCATTCCTCATTATAGGCCGTATATTTCCACTGTTTATTTTCAATGTTCAGTATAAATTTTCTTTTTGTTTCCATTTTCTTCAAAACTTCGTCCATGTTCAGTCCCTGGTATTCTCAGCATCTTCCTGTAGAACAAATTTCTGTTGCTTTAAGTTTCTTTTTCATCTGTGAGGAAATTGTCCAGCTAAGATTGCTTGACCCTTGTCTTTTCATCTGTGAGCAAATTGTCCAAAGATTGTCTTTTCATCTGTGAGCAAATTGTCCAGCTAAGATTGCTTGACCCTTGTCTTTTCATCTGTGAGCAAATTGTCCAGCTAAGATTGCTTGACCCTTGTCTTTTCATCTGTGAGGAAATTGTCCAGATAACATCGCTGGATCCTTTTCTTTCATTTGTGGAGAATTTAACTGCTGAGGCGGGAGAAAAAACAATGTACATACGTGGGTTATTGTTTCATACTGACTAAACGTGGTTACGTTTATACTAACTTTTTATAGTTAGAGTGGTTACGTGAATTTATTACCACGTAATCCATGAAGTAGTTATAAGGGAAACTTTGTTTTTTTTTATTTATTTTTATATTTATTAATGCAAGTTATTAGACGTTTACCTTATGTCGCTGAAAGGAATCTTATTTCGCTTAAATGCTTTTGCTTCTTTTCCTCGGCTTGAATCGTTTCTAGATTTTTAGAGGGTTGACATTTTCTCGAAACATTCAAATAAAATATCTACTTTTCTTAATACTTAACCCAATTCGCCTCCGGGTTTAAGTGTGGAACATTTTGTCCTCTGTTAAAACACTTCCCAGCTATTTAAATTGTTGTAATTGTTTGATTTTGGTATCTCCAATTTGTAATTTGGATGTTAAAACCTTCTTTTTGCAATTAAGGTTAAATCCTTTGATCTCGCTTTCTTTCACCACATTCAGTAGGATGTTTGTAGATTTCTTTATAAGTCTGATATCAACACTGTGCAAACAGGATATCTTATGTTGTTAAGATTGTGGCTGTCAATTATAAATCCTAGCAGGTCTATAATTATCTCGAAATTGCTTTACTGTATAGGTTGTATGTCCGGTGAGAAGACACAGCCTTGTTTTAAATAGCTTCTACATTTGTATATTTACTGAATCCATTTTCTATCCTGATGCTGGCGGTTTGCTACTAGTATATGTTATGGATTATTCTAATATCCTTTCTAAATATATCAAGGTTAGTAAGCATTTATAACAGTTCTTTGTTACGTAGTTTATCAAACGCTTTTATATAATTTATGAAACTCAGCTAAGCATTCTTCTGAATTTGTATTGCTCTTTCGAATATCATTCTGAGTAAAAATGTTACATTAATTGCTTTTTCCGATCTGATTCTACTGCGCGATCCATTCTTCAGAATGTTGTAATATGGTTCATTACGCTGATTGTTCGATGGGGTTTACACTCCTTTTCACCTGGCTTTTTAGGCAGCGCTATGAGAATACATCTACGTAGGTCTTCCAGTATATCACCACTGTTGTATATTTCATTCATTATGTCTTTTCTCTTGTCACTACTGATATCATCTAAGGCTGCCTGCATCTCCATCCTGGTCATGCTGCTATGTTTCTGATCAATTTGGCCATTGCTAATTTCAATTCAGATTTTACTATTTCAGGTCCTTGCCAGTTGTCCTCTTTCTTTGTGGAAGTGTTCTCCGATGATGAAGGACTTGGAAAATTATGCTTCAAATGCTATATCGAGGGTAAGGAAGATAGGGGAGTCACCTATCAGGTGAGCGAAATGGATAGCGGAACAGGATTAAGAGTCCAGAGGAAATTGTGGAGAGTTATGATCACACACGCCTTGGTACATAGACGATGGTCTAATACACATCTACAAGGAAAATGAAGGATGTAGTGTGCTTTGGTTACTTTTCAATGGCCTATGAATTAACGAACAAGCAATTGCCAAGAATGCGAGATTTACTAATAAGAAAATGAGTTTCTCTCTCTAAAATATTTCACTGAGATTTCTCGTAAAGAAATTCTATGTTCCGAATAGGCAGTTTCTCTCATTCAATCACCTCTCCCTCTCCGTCACTTACAATTAGTCGGTAAAATCCCCCTACTGGGGAGAACAAAAGCAACCAGGACAAACTATATGCGGAAGCATTTGTCTAGAAGACTGAACTGATTTTTAGTAAGCGACAGAGAGAGTTAAGCTTGGGTATATTGATTTTGAATATGCCATGAAGACTAATTCGGTGACATAACCAACAACAGTAGTCGCCACATACTTTGGCGAGCTACAAACTTCACTATATATGATGACGTATGTCCCATTATCAGTCATTATAAAATCAGCTATAGTAACAGTTATGAAAATAAGGAAAATGAATTAACACTACTTGTGATGGTTAATGAGTAGTGCTGTATGAAATTAGGTACTCTTTAGAACACAATAGAAACTTTTTATAATCCTTGAAATATTATACTGAAAAGCTATGTATTTTTGAATATAGAACATCATTAAAATATTGTGAATAACAATAAATTACTCACGAATAAGTTAATAATAATTCCAAGTTATGAAGTAATTGATGAATCTCGCACTGCGGCAAGTGAGTGTTTACTTACTTTAAAGACAAACCAAAGTGCGGGATAAATGAAGAGAGAGACGGGGAAGGAGAAAATGAAAATCTAGAATGATAATGCGAAAATAGACATTGTCTTGGCGGACAGAATATGATTGATGAAAGGTAGTAAGAAGAGAAACAACTTGTATTTATAAGTAGCAAAAAAAAATAAATAAATAAAACATTAAACATCAGTGATGTGTTTACCAAGAAAATCAAACTCTATTTACTGAAAGGCGAATTGTGTTTTTTTTAATGATATAAGCAAACAACTAATATTTCAGAGGAAACAAGGAATTTAATACGGAAGTAAAAATATGACTAAAAACAGAACGAATGTATAAAGCAAGGCAATATAAAATGAATAGAATTAAAACAGGAGAAAAGAAAAAAGAATGGAACACATTTCTAAGAAAAAAATGTGATAAACAAATATTAGCTGAATCCATAACGGTTTTCCACTGAAACGTTTTTAGTATTTTACATTAATTTCTCTACTTCTGTCCATTGTCTTGAATTTCTTCAGACGTTTCTTATTACATTGAACTACGATGGACTAATCGCTTCATTATTATACTATTTGCCCATTTCTGGCAGTTCAGAACTCTTTTCTTTTTCCGCTTAAGTATACTAAGAACAGCTTTTATACATTCTTATATTTTGTAAGATATATACTTACTGAAGAAGATACAAACGCGATTAGTTCTGTATGTGTGTCTCATCGTTAAACGAGCTTAATCTGAAAGTGATTGTTTTAAATAAAATACACCTATAAAAAAATTATGTTTCTTACTATAAATCATTCTTTCCTTCCCCAAAACTCGGACACGTTAACGTTGTTAAAGTTGTGTGAATTTCTAAATTGAAGTATCTTCATTATAATTTTTTCCTTAGTGTTTGTTTCTCCTTAATAGAATTACTTTTTATCAAAACGCTTATGTTGGTGTTCATTATACAACCGCTAAATAATAAACAGAATTGATAAAAAATAAGGAAATTATGATCTTATTTTTAATCCATACCATATATTTAATTCTGAGTTTAACCTCCAGTATATTAATACACTTAAAATGATTATTAAATATTGTATTGTCCCAATACGCTCGAGGATATCTCGTCTGGCGAACAGACTTTCTTATGTACCAATAGGTATGTGTAAACTAAATAAATATATAGACTATGTATAAACTATATAAATCAATTATTTAGGGACACCAGAACGTAAAGGTTTTCATACTAACTTTCTTATACAAAGAAATCATTATCATATAGACTTTGTTAGAGCGGCCATTTTGTATCCCGAGAAAATGTTTGCAATGAGAAACGGCTGTATTGTTAAGAAACAAAACTGATTATTAACATGAACACATTCAGCGGAAACGTGATATTAAAGACGTCTTCTTTTCTGTTCTATTTCCGTTTCTCTCACAAATTCCTACCCATCATAGTCCTTAGAAATCATTGTGTCTTAATTATTCACCTTACTTTTTGTTCTGACATACATTTAAACAAGATTCTTAGGTATGTTACTCTCTGTTTCTCTCTGCCATCTTGTTTTAAATAAATCCCGTGAATGATGAATTTTCCAATCATCTGTTCTTTTGTGTCCCTGAAATTTTAACTGTCTCTTTCGAAGTAAAATTTTCGATTGTGTTTTCATTTTCCTTAATATTTCTTCGCTCTTCACGCGCTCCGTTCATCGAATTCTCAGCATCTTTCTGTAGAGCCAAATTTTTGCTGCCTCAACTCTACTCTTTAGTTGTGAGAAATGGTCCAGCATTCAGTGCCATATAGCTGGATTGATACTACAGAGCAATTAAGAATATTTTTCTTTATTCATGTTAAATTTTAGTGTTTTATTTTTATTTTTAGTATTTGTTTAGCATTTGGAAGGATACATTCGCTATTTCAATCCGCCTAGCGAGGACAATACTTCTTCGAACCTTGTAGACAGGCGCTACAGAATCAAAAACAAAGATCTGAGGCAAATTTTAAATTAAATTAATTTATTAATTAATTTTAAATGTTTTATAAATTTCAACCAACAGCAGCAATGCTCGGTCAATGAAAACTGATTGTTTCCTTATAAGAAAATGTCAATATTAACATCAAAATTACCATTCAGCTTGTTTGTCTTATTTTTCGTCGTGTTTTATAACACGTCACAGATTTGTTCATACTGTTCGTTGCCAATAAAGGCTTAAGTCCCACTCAAGGTAGAGGCTTACTCAGCATGATTTTTGTAAGAATGAAAAAGAAGTTCACATTATGAGGGCGTATAGGATACCCTGACCAAGATTCTAGTTGTTAGAAAAGCATCAACTCGAAAGTTTTTTCCACAATTTAACAGTTATGGGGAAGAAGAGGGGGACATGAAGTGAATTGGGATGATTTAGCAAAGTGACTACTGTTAAAACTCCCAACTTGCTTGATTTTGATATCTACAATTCGTAGCTTTAATATAATGAGATTCCTCTTTCTTATGACCATACGTTCTATATTCTTATAATTGATGTTTAATAATTTCTTCCCGCTTCCATCAGGAATTAAGACAGTGAACTGCAAAATTAATCCAGTATTAATTGATAGTTGAGTATTTAACAAATGAACCATGAAAATGAAATATCTCTCTACAGCATTGTTCAGATGAACTACAGTAAGAGCCAAAAAATGGACGCACCCATAGAAAGTTGATTTTTGTATGTACCGAAAAAAGGGTGTAGTAGAATTCATTGAATATTGCAGTATTGAGACTGGTCCAAGATTCCCTTGATTTTGTATCAATTATCAACTCTTCGTGCTGGGAAGCACCCCAAATGCTGATTCTTTTATCGAGTTTAACAGTGTCCTTGGTAGTCCCTGGAGTATTCATTTCACCGGGCTTACACCAAACATTTATCCGTCTTTCATATCTAAGACTAAAGGGCCTCTCGTCATTCGGCATGACATCTTCCCAATCAGATTTAGCCCAGTGTAAAATCGGGCCCGTCGATTTTTTACAGATACGAAAGGTTTCTTTTTTATGTATTTGGAAACAATGCCTTTTGCTGCGTCTGACTTTTCCTGAAGAAACCGCCAAACTAGCCGCTTTGGAAAAATCTTGTGCAGTTGCGAATTAATCTTTTTTAGATTGAAGAACCAAGTTTCTATTTCCTCTGTCGGTATTTTTTAGCAGCCGGCCAGATCCGCTACGTTTATTATATGTTCCAGTCTTATTTCTCTTTTTGAATAACTTTCGGACACATGACTCACTTCGATTAGTCTTATCAGATATCGATCTATTCGACAGCCCAAGATCAGGTAAAGCGGCGACTTGGCCCTTCTCGAATTCAGAACAATGCTTAGGCACGTTTAATAAATAACAAGTGTAATAAGCTTTATATTTTGTTCATCATTTCTATAGGGGCGTCCAATTTTTTTGCCTTGTACTGTACATTTCATAGTTCCACTAGTTGTAACCTTCACAGGTAAAACCCACCAGGCCACGCCCATTGTAGCGAACCACCCTCAATCCCTTCGTATTCCACTAGTGAAATGTAAGTTCCACTCAAACAGCTTTTTACCACCGTTCACTATAATCTTTTCAAGTCACGCACTACCACACGCCCGCCAGTCGGAAGCGCTTTGACGGGCACGCCCACTTGGCCGTCCATCAGAGCAAGCCGCTGATCTACATTTCTAACTCGAGGAGGCGGGGCGCTTTGGGTGTCATCTGATTGGGCGAGGTTCGGAAAAAAAATTCCTTTTAACCAATCAAGGTTAGGTGAGTTAAACCCATGTCGATCGGGAGTTACTCCGAGCGTTCCTTGGTAGATCCTGGAGTCCCCCCAGCAATGCCGTAAGGCGTATCACCCCCGCCCCACGTTGCCTGTAATTCCGCAGTATCATAGCCATCTCTCACAGGCTAATACAGAAAATGGGCCGGTAGTGATCCCAGCGCCGTAGCCGTAACAGCTTGCAGTCCAGGTAGGATAGCTGGACAAACCGCCCCTCGCCAGGGAAACGATCTGATGGCGATATTGGGTCCGTACCTGTCGTAGACTACAACTAGAATATAGTTCTGGCTGTACTTCGCGATCTCTTCCCTATTGCACGCATCGAGACTGCATATAACACATATGGACGGTATCTGTACATCCAGAACCCGTGGCTACTTACTGGTCACAGTCACGAGGTCCGGCTTCTTCACACCACGCTCTGGAATTGCGTCTCCGTGATGACGTCGAAGCTGTATCTTTTTAGGATCTGCGCCACGTGAAGAACGACGTTGTGTGACGCTTAGTTCGAAGGCCGCTGATAATTTCGCATGGGTGTATTGCGCTCACGTCAGTGTCAACTGATCTGCCGCTCCGAGAAAACCTAGACTGTCTCTAACGGCCTCCTGAAAATCATACCGGCCAAATTGACAAGGACTATGCTCAAGCCAGCTATTGGCGGCTGGTATTTTCTCATACCATCTTCAGGTCCCTGATGTTCAGCGTCTACTTCGTCCCTGGCTTAGGCGATTGTCCTTCAATGTGTAAATGACCATTTCTAACGAGTTAACTCCTGAACCGTCTAATTTTCATTTGGTGTGGACAGTCCGCAGGCAGCCTGAGCCAGGAAATTTTTGAGAAGTATCAAGATTTGTTTAGGCTAAAATAAAGCCCAATTCGGCACCTGTAATCGTGTGGGCAAGTTCAACGGTGTACGACTGACGCCCTTCCAGTTGAACTAACCTTCAATGTAACAGAAATCGAACACGGCTATTACAACCGGCAAGGCGACATCGTCGACCGTGAGTGATACATCAGTGTCTACAAAGCTGAACTTCCTCTTCTTATTACCGCGAATAGCAAGTACATTGGAGTTTAGGGCGTTCAACCAATCCAAGCCAACGTAAACCGTCGGAGAGCCGAACAAACCACTTCTGCATCCCATCAGAAGAACTAGCGAATAGGATCAAATCATCGGCCTGAGCCATCTGATTGAACACTATTCCGCCGATAGTACTGGCGTACTCTTCTTTTCCTCCCAGGATCTGATCAAGCGCCAGATTGAATAGCCACCAGAGATATAATTCACCCCCCCTTCTTGACGCCCCAGTGTTTTGTAAGGATGAGATGTTTGCCGTAGATACCCCATAAAGATGTCGAAGACCCCTTCCGTTGGCATATATTTAATAGTACTTCGTGGGATATCGGGTTGAATACTTTCCGGATGTCCACGGAAGAGACAAGATTCTCGTATTTAGATCGATTCAATGAGAGTGCAGCATGAAGCTTGAAGGCGTTGAAGGCAATCCATCAAGATGTTTGAAAACGGTCTTGTCTTGGTGGCAAGGCAGGGGTGATTCCAAACGACACTCGATCAAGCACTCGATGAAACACCCGCACGAAATAGTTCCAGAAGGCAATGGAGCGGATTTCCAGAGGATTACCGTGCACCTACACATCTTCACCTCTCGATGAAGATGTTGCCAGTTTTCCGTCTGGAACGAGACGGACATTTTAGCAATAAGAGGTTACAAAGAATGGTGATAACGACTACGAGAATATCCCGAAAACAATAAAGAAAGATGCTATCCGGACCTGGATAGGATTCTTTCGTAATTGCCTTCGTGGCAACGATATCAACCCCTGGATGGGTTTCGTAAGAACATTTGTCATCAGAACGGAATGGTCTGCGGCCAGGTCCAGGAAGAAGCCACGTTTAAACAAAAATTGCGCAAAAATTCTTCATCGCTGAAAGCTAAACTCGGCCACTACCCCCACCACAGGATAGATCATTGTCGAGGACTGTCTCGGTAAGCGATTTCGGACTGCGTTCATGATGTTTCTGATCCCTCCTCAGTCTATCCTTTGCAATCAGGATCGTTCGTTTTCTCATATTCCTGTTTTAGCATGGAGAAACCATTATGTTCATTGTGGGCCTACTCTGCCGTTTCTTGGATCGTAGAATCAGAAACTTTAGGCTGGAGCCCGGTGACATACTCATAAATCTCAAGGGTATTCTCGTCATACAAGTTAAGAGTCTACTGGGGCGCTGCTGTTCCTTACTCCTCGTCAATAGCCTCCGCGATCGCAAGCTCCGCGGTTGCAGGCCCCCCACATCCTGGGTAGCCGTCGTTTGGATCGAATAGCGTAAAACGTACGATACGGTAGGCGAGGGACTAGTTCAGAATGCAAGTCCTTGTTACAGTTTTTTTTGGTGTGTATATATATATATATATATATATATATATATATGTACTAGTGAGTTAATCCAAATGCCTTGACTCTCTTTATAGTCCACTAATAGAAGGTTAACCAATCAGAAGACGTAGAACATTCAATCCGTCGTGTATAAAGGCGGCCATTTTGTTCACTCTACTCGAATGTCCAGTCCAGCTTGTCAGGCGAAGAGAAACAGAAGGACGAACTATGCTCTGCTACTTTTACCAAAATATCCACTGCTAACCTGAACAACGCATTTCCTACTGTCTTCGAAAATGCTAACCTCTGGATTCTTAGTAAAGTCAATATTAATATGCAACAAATACTTTAGTATTCCAAATTGTTTGTTTTTTTTTTAGTATTCATAAAATACATTTTTTTTAAAGAAAATTAATATATCCACACAAAAATTAGTCATATCACTTTGTCCACAGTTAAGTATTCAGGTTAATAAAGATTACCAATAATATTATAAGTTTGGGTTGTGATCACAACAAAAAAGTGGAAAGAATTGTTACTTTACCCATAGCTGGGACCTATTAAAACAGTTACTATCACTTTGGGTCAGAGTGATCCTGAGATTCACTAAAAAGTGAAAAATTGTTATTTTACCCATAGCTGGGACCCATTAAAACAGTTACTATCACTCCGGGTCAGAATGATCCTGAGGGTTTAGAAGAGGATTGGGCTAAAATTAGGACTATTTACATTTATACCCTGAAACTAAGGACTCACATTCATACCAAAAACTGAACTGACATTTCTTAAGACAATAACTAATGGATACATTTTTGCGTCCTACCCAGGACCAATAAGGACCTAAGAGAAACTTAATGAGTGCAGTTTTAGGTCTTGCCCAGGACCAATAAGGAACTTATAGTTCAGTACCAAATATGGCAGAAGTGAAAGCCCGTAATTTGAATTTCGTAATTGGTTTTATAAATAAATCCGCCATATTATTTCCCGATTGAACATATTCAATTTGTACTGTTTTCTTTTGTATTTGGTCCCTAACAAATTGATATTTGATATCGATATGCTTTGATCTTTGATGTATCATTGGATTTCTGGCCAAAGCAATACTGGCCTGATTGTCGCAGTAAATAATTATTGGCTCAGTTATTACCAGTGTTGTAATTGTTTTTATTAGTAATTTAAGAAACATAGCCTCTTGTGTTGCTTTTGACAATGCAATATATTCAGCTTCATAAGTAGAAAGTGAAATCATTCCCTGTTTCTTCGATTTCCAGCTGATTATTGGGTTACCGTCTGCTAGCTTAAAGCAATAGCTTGTTATACTCTTACGATCTGGTGAGTTGGCCCAATCAGCATCACAAAATATTTCCAATTTTAATGGTTTATCTGATTGTCGAAAGACTACGCACTGACTCTTAGTTCCCTTTAGATAACGTAATACTTGCTTAGCTCTTGTTAAATGCACAGTCACCGGTTTATTTAAGTGTTGGGACAATTTAGTAACCGTATAGCAGATACCTGGCCTGGTTGATGTCATCACGTAAATAAGACTTCCAACCAATATTCTGTATTCTTTCTCACACGCCGCTATACCATCTTCCTTGTTCATAATTGTGTTTACATCCATTTCAAATGGGTAGTTCTTGTTTTACAATTTTGCATGCTGAATTTAGATAAGAGCCTTTCGATGTATCTCGATTGATTCATTGAAATAGTGTTGCCTTTAAATTCGAACTGTATACCAAGAAACCATGTCATTTTAAATCTTATTTCTAGGAAATTTTTGATTTTTAATAGAGCTGCCTCACACTTTGATGCAATTAACATATCGTCGACCCAAATAACCAGAATTACTAATATTTCATTATTAAATGTTCTCGTGTATAAACATGGGTCAACTTGGGAGGATTGAAATTGTTGTATTAAATAAGAATGGATTAATTCATTTCATGTTCTTCCGCTCTGTTTGAGTCCATATAGTGTTTTTCTAAGTTTCCATACATAATTATCACCTTTTTCAAAACCTACTGGCGGTTCTATGTATATTTCATAGTCGATGGCAGCATTCAAATAAGCTGCCATTTGCATCAAAATTCTAATTGTTGTCATGTTTGTTGTTGGACTGAATGTTTCTTCATAATCTTCCCCATATATCTGCGAAAATCCTTTAGCTACAAAACGAGCCTTGTACACTGGCGATCCATCCTCAGTTCGCTTTACAGTACAAACCCAACGGCTGCCGATAATACTTTTATCATCCGGGGCCTTTTTTAATTCAAACGTGTCAAATACTAAAGATTTAATTTCTTTTTGCATGGCAGCTATCCACTGTCTGGAATTGACAGAATGTATGGCTTCTTGATAGTTCTTTAGGATACATTGTACCGAATAACAACAGTCAATGTCTCTGGTATTACATTGACCCATTCCAAAATAGTCTGGCTTTCTTCTATTTCTTGTCGGATAACGCGGAATTTTTCCCCTTCATCAGTTGTATTTTCTTTTAACTCAAGTTTTGCGTCTGATTTCTCCTCGTTAACATTCTCTGGTATAACAACTTCCTCTGATTGTGGATTTTGAACGGGTTTTCTACTTATAGGCCCATAATTAGGCCATACTAGTTCGGGTTGGACTAGTTCCTCACAGTTAATGTTCTTTTCTTCGGGTTCGTCCCTTGGCTCAGAGGAATCTGTAAATCTGACACATCTGATCTTCCTTAACATTTTAGTTTGTGGAAAATAAATCATATAGGCTGGACTTGACTTGTCATACCTAATAAATATGCCCCTTTCACTTTTTGGATCTAGTTTTGCCCTGTGGTCGACATATGTATAGCAAATTGTTCCAAAAATATGCATATC